TCGCCACCACCACTAACCCACACTGCTCTACACATCCCATCATCACACCACACTGCCCCACCACCAACCCATACACCTCGCCACCACCACTAACCCACACTGCTCTACACATCCCATCATCACACCACACTGCCCCACCACCAACCCATACACCTCGCCACCACCACTAACCCACACTGCTCTACACATCCCATCATCACACCACACTGCCCCACCACCAACCCATACACCTCGCCACCACCACTAACCCACACTGCTCTACACATCCCATCATCACACCACACTGCCCCACCACCAACCCATACACCACAACCACCCCACCACGGACGGACGGACAGACTGCGGCAGTATAGTCACCGTTCCTTTGGGTGTGGGGACCGTGTATGATTCTGGTACGGGGGATTTATGTGAAAATACACCAACTATTAGGGGCCCATTTACACTACATTGCCAAAGGTTTATGGACCCCTGACCATCACACCTAAGAGTTGCCCGCCCCCCATGGCCATTAATATGGAATTGCCCGCCCCCATGGCCATTAATGTGGAGTTGCCCGCCCCCCATGGCCATTAATGTGGAGTTGCCCGCCCCCCATGGCCATTAATGTGGAGTTGCCCGCCCCCCATGGCCATTAATGTGGAGTTGCCCGCCCCCCATGGCCATTAATGTGGAGTTGCCCGCCCCCCATGGCCATTAATGTGGAGTTGCCCGCCCCCCATGGCCATTAATGTGGAGTTGCCCGCCCCCCATGGCCATTAATGTGGAGTTGCCCGCCCCCCATGGCCATTAATGTGGAGTTGCCCGCCCCCCATGGCCATTAATGTGGAGTTGCCCGCCCCCCATGGCCATTAATGTGGAGTTGCCCGCCCCCCATGGCCATTAATGTGGAGTTGCCCGCCCCCCATGGCCATTAATGTGGAGTTGCCCGCCCCCCATGGCCATTAATGTGGAGTTGCCCGCCCCCCATGGCCATTAATGTGGAGTTGCCCGCCCCCCATGGCCATTAATGTGGAGTTGCCCGCCCCCCATGGCCATTAATGTGGAGTTGCCCGCCCCCCATGGCCATTAATGTGGAGTTGCCCGCCCCCCATGGCCATTAATGTGGAGTTGCCCGCCCCCCATGGCCATTAATGTGGAGTTGCCCGCCCCCCATGGCCATTAATGTGGAGTTGCCCGCCCCCCATGGCCATTAATGTGGAGTTGCCCGCCCCCCATGGCCATTAATGTGGAGTTGCCCGCCCCCCATGGCCATTAATGTGGAGTTGCCCGCCCCCCATGGCCATTAATGTGGAGTTGCCCGCCCCCCATGGCCATTAATGTGGAGTTGCCCGCCCCCCATGGCCATTAATGTGGAGTTGCCCGCCCCCATGGCCATTAATGTGGAGTTGCCCTCCTTTTGTAGATCTAACATCCTCCACTCCTCTGGGAAGTCTTTCCACAAGATATTGGAGGACATCTGTGGGAATTTGTCCCATTCGTGAGGTCAGGTACTGGTGTTGGATGAGAAGACCCGGCTCACGATCGGTATTCCAATTCATTCCATAGGTATTCAGTAGGGTTGAGGTCAGGGCTCTGTGCAGGACACTCGCGTTGCATGGTGGCTGGTGAGAGTGCTGGGAAACTTTTTGCTGTTGTTCTTTATTAGGCCCTTCCATGTGCACCGCGCTTACAAATTGAGTGCGTTTGTCATGTGTTTTGCCTGACTGATTTGGTGCAGTGACGCATGGGGGGCGTGGTCTCACC